GCTCTTGTTCCACATCCAAGATTTGGACAAAAAGAAATGTAGTTGTAACTTTGGTTATTAACAAATAATTTACTTTTTTTATAATATTGTTTTTAAATTTTAATAAGAAAGTCAATTAAAAGCACCTTCAGAAATATTAAAAAGATTATATGGAGAAACAATAATTGGATCATCTACTACTTCACAATAATGTTGAAGAATAACATCGAATCGATTCAAATAATGTGTAGAGAATAAAAAGTGAGGCATTCTTGAGAAAATTTCTGGAGTTGTAATTAATCCTCCAAGTTGTTTGTAAGAATATTTTGGCCAATTAACTTTTAACTTATATGTAGACCCATGAATTTGGTTTTGTTCTCTTTCTGCCTTTGACATGTATGTTTGAAGAATACAGAAATTAGGTGTTTCTTCAATGGCACTATTAATAAATTCATACAAGTTATTTGCAAAAATTGAATTTAATGTTACCCCAATAGGTGCAATAAAAATTAAGTCTAATTCCTTATGAAATGTTTTAGTAAATGGATAGAAGTCTTGAACAAATGCGATATCTTCTTGGTATTGGTTAAAAGGATATTGCTCTTTAGTTTCAGTTCTATATTCAAAACCAAAAAGGGAAATATAATATCCCATATTTGGCCAATACTTTGTTTCGGAACGCTCAGAAAATAGAAGTGGAATAAATTGGATATTACTATGAGTTGGTAATTTTGGTAATTTAGAACCAGGAATAGGTAAAACCCCAATTTTAAATTTTCTTTCAACAGAAGGTTTAGGAATAGGATAAGCATTTGGTCTAAATAAAATTTCTTCATCAGTTAATTTAATTATTTCTATGTTTTCATTTACATTATTGTCATTATAAGGCCAATTAATTTGAGGAATAATATTTGATAAATTTACATCAAAGGAGGTTTTGGAAGGACTGATAATTACTTGTAATAAAAACAATGTAGTAAGAAAACTGAAAATTAGAATTACAATAGTTATTATGTTCATCTATAAACCTAGTTATTAAAAAGTTATAAAATTAAGTTTAAAAAAAATCTTAAAAAAAAATTAGTTATTTTAGTTCAGGATGTTTATCAATAATTTCATCAGCAGTTTCAGAAATAGTTGAAAGTAACTTTTCAATTTTTCCTTCCCACTCATCAATTTCATGATGACCTTCAAAATAAACAATTCCTTCAACTTGATCAATAGATGCTTTTAATTTATTTGCCCAAACTTCATGAATGACTAACTTTTCTGCTTCTTCATCCTTCATATTGAGGTGTTTTGCAAGTTCACTTATTAAAATCGTGTTATAAATATTTGAAAGTTCTACAAGTTTACTTTGTACTGAACTCATTGAAATAGTAATTCAGAGATGTAGATAGTTTGAGGTATAATTTCTTTCTTTTTTTTCTGTTATATATAACATGAAAAAAAGGAATTTAATTCAATTAAAGTTTTTCAACGATTTTTTTCACTGATTGTTTGGGTAATAAAGTGTCATCTTTCATTAATGAATCTACTATTTCAGCTTTTTGAGTACTATTTAATGATTGTATATCTTTAGGACACTTTTTAAGAATTTCTTTATCTACTTTATCAATCCATTTTGGTTGATTCTTTTTATAATTATTAAGGAATGATTCACATGGAGCTACAGCACTTTCTTCAACAACAACTTTATGGTACTTACACTTACGATATTTTTTTAATACCATACTTAAGGTAGCTTGATTTTCAGCTTCTACAATAACTTTTAAGTTTTTAAACTTCTCGTCAAGAATTCTCATGTCAATATCTGAACTTAATTTATCTGTTGCTGTTTTGTTTTGTATTGGTTTCGGTGCATTACATGGTTTTTCATTTAATATAGCCTCAGCCATCATTCTTTTTACTTCACTTTTTGCTTCAGAATAAATACCTTCTGCATTTGCTATACTAATAATTAAAAGAAGTACAGTAATCATTTTCATTGATAAAAATAATATAATTTTTAAGTTCTTTTTTATTTTTTTCTAAAATCATACAAAAACTTTTCTCATTTTTCTCTTTTATAACTAATATACCACCTATCCAAAATGGTTCATATTAAGATATTGTAATTGTCTTACACACACTCTTAAATTAATATAAAAAAATATTCTGTTCGAAAAAAAAACTAATTTGATTGTGACTCTTATTAATATAATTAATCAAAACTTGAAAAAAGATTATGAAAATCTTTTTTGAGAAAGAGTCAATCATTATTTCTTTTTAAAAATGAGACTCAATCAGAAGATAAAATGAAAACCAATAAGCAAGATTTATACAATTAGTTTATAATTTAAACATGTAGTCATTACCAAAATCTCTCATAAATCTTCAGATATAATTAATATCTTATTATTTACTAAGTTTTAACGTCAAAACTTTTATTTCTATTGGTAGTAATTTACCAAATTATTTATATAATTCTTATACAACTAAAAACTTAAACAATATATAAATAAAAAGTAATAAAATTAAGTTTTAAGAAACTGTGATTAAGAATAAAGTTTTCAACAAGTAAAATGTAATAATTTTTTATGAAGGAAATAGAAAATTTTGTTATAATATCTTTATTTAACAACAATAACATAAAATTGAAAATAGAATTAATAACAAAAAAATTCAAAAATAGAACAAAAAATAAATTTGAATTGTATAATACACAACAGCCATATAAAATAAATACACTTTAACTAAAGCATAGTTGAAGTAAGAATTTCATCAGTTCCATTATTTGAAAATTGGTGAAGTTCTCCTCTTTTTCTTCTATAATGAGAAGAAAATTCATCTTCATTATTTTGAATGATAAGTTCAATGTACTCATCATTCTTACCAACAACTTGGTTAGAAGAAGACATTTTTTGACAACTTTCACTTCTTAAAAAATCAGGTTTTACTTGTAAGTTAAAATGAGGAGAATTGGGAGTACTAGATGAAGCAATAAAGGGAGGTTGTAAATTATTATTAATATTATCTTGTAATTTTAAAGAAAATAATGGAGAAATATTTCTTTTTAATATCTTTCTCTTATGTTTTACAGGTGTTGTAATAAATTGTAAATTTGAATGAGACTCTGAACGTAATATTGAAGAAGGAAGTAATGAAGGAGTACAACAAATTGAAGAAGAAAGTGAAGAAGAAGGAGCTAAGTTACCGTTCGAGTTAGTTTGTTGTAAAGAAGTAATAATATTTTTTAAATGAGTTTTTTGTTTATCATTAATTTGTAAAGAATTAATATCATCATCTCCCATTAAAGTAATGATGTCTAAAGAGAAATATCCATTATTTAATAATATAGTTGATAGTTCATAATCACAAACAACTTCATTTATTAATTCAAAAGGGTCTTTATAAATTGAAGGTTTTTCTAATATTAATTCTTCTTCATTCATTTTCTTACCCATATCAGGTATTTCAATTGAAATTATATCTACAATACTTTTAAGAACTTTATCAGTTTCTTCTTCTAATAAATTAAGTTCAGTTGTATTAAAGAAAATTTCTTTACAATGAAGAAATTTTTTAGCAAGTTTTTTTGCTTTACCACGAATTTGGATAATATTTGAAGAAAGAACACAACCATCATATTTAGTTGAATGAAACTTACTTGTTTGAAGTTCACAAGGATTCTATAAATAATTAATAAATTTTCTTTTATTATTTAATAATATCCAAACCATTAATACAACTCCTGAAATTGATAATTTCTGCTTTCTACAACTCTCTACTAACAACATCACAGGAAAACATCCTTCACAATTTCCAATTAAATAAATTTGACTTGTTTTTATTGTTCTTAAAATGTACTGATATAAATCAAGAAGAGAACATAACAAAACTTCTTTTGAATAAGTACTTCCTTCATAAAATCCACAATATTCAAAACAAAAAACTTGTATTTTAGTTATTTCAGCAATTAAACGAATTGACTCTATTGACTGTTCAAATGTTTCTTTAATTGAATGACAATAAATAACTGCTGAGTCATTATTAAATTCTCCATGTGGTTGAACAATTACATATGGTGTATTATAATAGCCTAATCTTTTTGTCTCTTTTGGTAGATAACCATAACCATTAGTAGTCATAAGTAAATGTGAAGTCTTTGAAAACATGATTAAAACTATTAATATAGTTGTGAGATGACAAAAAATTTTTGATAGAGTGGTACCTTCTTGTAAGAACCTTTTTACATAAATCCAAATTTATATCATTTTAAAAGCCTCTTTTTGTTCGTTAAATGTTTCATATTTCCTCTTTTGATAGATAAATTCACGTGTTTGTTTTTTTGTTTTAAATCAAAAAAGTCACTTTACTCTGAACTAACATTATTGGTATTAGTTAGTTGAGTTTGACTTAATAACTTACTTTTACAGGAAGATTTTGTTTAAAATTAGAATTAAATGTTTATTTAATTATTTACTTGGTAAAAACGTCATTTTGAGATTTAATGTAAATAGACAAAAAGTCAAGTAACAGAAAGAAAAAGATGAATGGTATTATATTTTTTAGTTAATGTAAAAAAAGTTAGTTAATTTTGTCATTAAGAAATGTCTCTTTTCAGAATTTCATTTATATTAATAGAACAAAATCATTAAAAAAAACAAGAAAAAATTTTTGTCTTTAATATAAAAATAACAAGTTATTAAGAAAAGAAAAATAATACAAATCAACAAAAAAAAAGAACACAAGTAATTTAAAGTTTTGGTATTACCAAAGGAATTCTCTTTCCACCAAGAGTTGCACTTCTTGTTGCTGCTTGGATTAATATACTAGTATTAACACAACTTAATACATCTCCTGAAGTACCATTATTACGAATAATATTAGCAAAGAATGGAAGTTCTTTTTTAAAATTCTTTTCATGTCTTTTCATGAATGTCTCAGTTAAATTTTCAGGTTCTTTTCCACATTCAAGAATATGTGAATCAGAAGTTAATACAGTTAATGAATTATCATATACTTTATTACCATTTCTTGTTGCTATAATAGTTAATACAACATTATTTGGATATTCAAGTGAAGCAGTAGCTGAATCCCAAACTCCAGCACCTCCATCAATTCCAACAGCTGTGACATATTTAGGAAGGGTATTATTCATATAATACATAATTAAATTAAAGTCATGACACATTAAATCAGTAAAAATATTTCCTAATGTCTTAAGAAATTCTGGTGGTACAAGTGGCCAATCAAAAGAATGAAATTCAGCTCTTTGAATTGAAACATTATTAGAAACAAGATATTCTTTAATTGATTGATATCCTGGATCTCTTCTTCTCATCCAACCGCAATGTAAACTAACTCCATTTTTTCTACAAGTTTCATAAGCTTCTTTAACTTCTTCTGGAGTTGAGGCAATAGGTTTTTCACAATAAATGTGTTTAACTTTTTTTGATGCTAGTTTTATTGTTTGAAGATGAAATTTGGTTGGTGTACTTATCCAAATACCATCTATTGGTATATTAATCTCTTCTACTGTCTTAAATATTTTTATATTTGGTCTATCTAATACAGATTGACAGACTCTAAATGGTTCTACAACTCCAACAAGTTCAATATCTGGAGACTCAATAAATAAAGAAGCTCTAAATGATCCTAATCTTCCAGTTCCACATAAACAAATTCTAACTTTATTGCTTTGCATATACCTCTTTAATGAACTAAAAGTTCTTTTTATGGTTTAAATGATTTCTTTTATACTATTTCTACTTCCATTTTCTCTTAAAAAAAAAAACAAAGAAGAAGAATGGTAATGAATTTCCTATATTCTTAGTCTTCTTTTTGCTATCTTTAAATTTGTGGGTTTTACCCAAAGGTTTTTTTTTTGTTTATTAATTTGAATTTAGTTTACTAATCATTATTTTATTTTTGTTTAGAATCTTCTTCATCTTATTTTATGGAGATGAACAAGATTTTTTTTTCATACCTCTTTTCTTTTTTAAAGACTTTTCCCATTTTTTTCCACTTTTAATACGAATTCAAAATACAGCATTTTTTCACTCAATTATCAATATTTTTTGACTGATTTATCTTTTATTTTTTGAAAAGACGTATTGAGTGATTTTAGTTGTATTTTAAGGCTTTTTTTCATTTCACAAACATTTTTTCATTTTTCCTTTGTTCTCTAATTAATTTTATCTGTTTGATTTTATAAACATTTAATTTAACCTCTATTTTGAATTAAATTTCCCTAAAATTTTTTAATAACTTTTTTCAAAAACTAGAAAATAAATAAAATAATTAGAGGCGAACTAAATATTATAATTTATTTCAGAACTTTTTTTTAGTTTATCAAAATAAAAAATTTTAAATGAAATTTGAAAAAAACTAAAAAAAACTAAAAAAAGTTTTTAATAACACAAATTTTGAGATGAAGACACATAATAAATCAATAGTGTATAGTGGAGTAACAACGTATTGTTCTTCATATCATTTTACTGATGACCCAAGAGTTAGTAAAAGAATTCCAGAGACATTAGTTGCTCAAATTGGTAATTTAAGTACTAGAGAAGAGACTTATTTCTTTGTTCAAACACAAACATGTAATATGTTATATCACTTTATACCAATGGAACAAAGTGATATAACATATATTCTTATTTCACCACAAAAAGAGAATGAAACAGAAATGAAGTATCTTATTACATTGTCACGTAAAATGATTCAAATGAATGGAATGAGTGATGTTAATATGAAAGGTATTTCAACTCGTAGAAATACATTAGAAAATTTTTATCAATTATATGATCATACTCCAATGTATTTAAGAGTTCCAACATTAATTCCTACATTTAAAAATATAATTTCTAATTACATTTTACCTAATACTTTTACTGATGGAGTAAAACAATTAGATGGATTTGGTCTTGTTGTTGGTGGATATTTTAGACCTTTTACTTCAATGAAAAATCAACTTTCTACAGAAGAAAATATATGTTTAACAGTATGGTCAAATACATTAGTTAAAACTTATTTAGCTGATTCAGAAATTCGAGAAGATGAATATTTAGGAAATGAATTTCAATTTGAAGAAAAAACAGATGGTCTTAAAGCACCACCAGTAAGTGTTGAAGATTGTAATAAACAACTTATTATTAATCCAGTTGAATTTAAAATAAGTACAAGTACTAGCGATTGGATTTTAGCAGTTCAAAAGATAACAAATAATATGTTAGTTATTGGGTTTTTAAAAAAAGGAGAAATATTAATTCAAGACTTTAAAGAAACAGTAAAAAAAATTTATCCAGTATTAATGATGTTTAGAAGTGAATTAACATTACCTTCAATGTCAATGATACATCCTTTTAATTATAGAACAGCATATCCAGGAATGGTTCATTTTATTGTTATTGATCATTTTAGAAATCAAACATTTTATCCATCATTTGATCCACCTGAATTAGAAATTCAATTAAAGAAATTTATTATTGATTGTAGAGAATCAAATGAATTTAAAATTCTTTATACTAGAAATCAAAAATATATATTTGCTTTTGAAAAAACTTCTCGTTCAGACCAAAGAAAAGAAACAAAAATCGAATTTGAAGTATATGCAGTCTTCGTTAAACAAGTTCCTTATTCATTGGTTCATGATTATACTTCATCTGCTTTAAAGAACTATAAAGATATTTATTTAAAGTGATTAAAAATAATTCTAATTTCATCTTTTTAATATTTAAAGAGAATCAATTAATTGTTGTTTTTAACTAATTTGCTACAAATGTGTAACGTGTTGGTATTGGTTCATTTGAACATTTTGTTTGAATAGACTCTAAAAAACCAGATTTAACAGGTTCTTGATCCATATCATCAGTATGAAAATTGGATAATAATTTGTAAATAATTTCATTTGATAATGTTGGAAAAAGAGTATAAATTTCATCTACTGAAATACAGTGATGTTGCATAAAAACATTAGCAATATCAGTTATAAGGTTCATTTGTTGATATTCTTCTTTAAATATTTTATATTCATCATCCAAAGATAGCATGTCCATATATGTCATAAAAAATTTAAATTGGAATCCTTTACTACAGCAAATATTTTCTGGTTCTTGAATTAATGTATCTAATACATAATATGATAAATTATGAAATATTTGTTTATTTATTCTTTTTATCATTTCATTTGAACATCCTTCTTCTACCATCATTTCATTATTATTTTTAATACTTTTCATTATTATCTTTGATGTTATTTGTTCAACTTCTGAATTAGTATATTCTGAAATACTTCTTTTGGAAAATAAACAACTGTTCAATAATGGAAGGAGATTTTGTGTAATTGCTTCAACATATCGTTTAATTACTTCATTTACATTTATTGGTTCTTGACATTTTTTTAATATTTCAATAATTTCTTTACAATTTCTTTTTGTTTTAAAAAATTCTTCCACTTGTTGTTTTTCAGTTAATGTAATATTTTCTTGTTCTGTAGTATTTCTGCTATTTTGTGGTTGGATTTCAATATTATTTGTTATTTCTTCCGTTTTTATTTCTTCTTTATTTATATCTTCTTTTGATTCTAATTGACTTTGAACTCTTTCTGTATCATTTTCTTGAGACTCTTTATTTTCTTTTATTGGTTCTTTTGGTTCTGGTATATTATTTTGTTTTTCCTCATAAATTGAATGTAATGTTATTTCTTCTTTTTTCTCAACAGGATTTGTTACTGTTACTTCTACATTTTGTGAATTTAATTCCTTAGTTTCATCTCTTTCTTTTAATTGTTTTTGACGTAATTCTAATTCTTCTTGTTCTTCTTTTTCTCTCATTTTTTGAATTAAGGCATTATGAATTGGATCAACTGCATCAACTCCTGGTCCTGAAGATATACTCATTTCATCATCATCAGTTAATACAAGATTTTCAGTATTTTCTGATTGACCAGTGACAACACCTTCTGTAGAACTTATTTTTATAAATAGTCGTGCTTTCTTAACTTTTCCTTTTCCTTTTAAATCAATAACTATATCTCTATTACTACCATCTAATCCAGCATGTTGTGCTAAATCAATTACTCCACTAACAATTCTTTTTCCTTCAATATTTTCTATAATAAATTGTAACAATTTTTCTTCATAAAATCCTGGTGTTGATTTCTCAAATAAAGTACAATGTAATTTAATTACTGCATCAGTTCCAGCTAATGCAACCCCTTTCAAAACTCTCATTGAATTAAATTTTCCTTTATTTGTATCTTTTTTCCCTCTCCTCCATTTTAGCACAACTTCTTTTCCTTCAAAAACCTCTAACCCTTGGACATATCCTATGTTCAACACATAGTCTTGCTTACATTTCTTTTTAAACATATTAAACGCCATCCTCTCAAATGATAGTTCAGTTCTAAAGATTTATTCTTAATAACAAAATAAAAATAATAATTTGTTTTTCAATTTATTATTTTTTTATTCAATATTGCCAGTTTCATTAAACGAAACTTCATTGGTGTTATAAATAACAAAATTATTCTTGGCTTAGTCTATCTCCTCCATTTACTTTTTTACCATTATTTAATAATTTCGCCATTCGAGTACCAAATTGAATTGCCGTCTTCTTAAAAGAGGCACACGCTATCATACCAACAGAACGAGATACCTCTCTAAGTATCCACTTATTTCCTTCGTTTTCAGGAAGGTCCAATTTAACAAGAAAGTCTTCAGGAATATTTCGTATAAAACGAATAACATCACTATTAAGAAATGGATAAAAACATGTTGCATTGCAATAGTCATTCACACGACTATCTCTTGCTGTATTTCGACTCCACAAACGACAAAAGTCCATTTCAAGTTCTTTTGATAATTTATTCCACTTCTTTGCATTTCTATGCCTTCCATATCCTCCTAGTTGTTCGTCTGACCCTTGACCACATAACACTCTTCTTACAACCCTCTTTTTCTTTCCAATATCACAATGTCCCTCTTGTGTCAGTGCCAGACTAGTTGCAGTTGCAATAGAAAGATCCATAACAGTGTCATTAGGGTAGATAATTGGAATAAGTTCTTGTGACAAAGTTTGTCCTATTTCTTTTTGGATGTCTATTTCAATAAAGTGAATCACTTTTGTTGGAAACAATTTTTTAAGGTCTTCTAATACTGCTTTAGCACAAAGCCTATCAGGTGAATCATATGTATTTTCATATAAACATGAAACATTATACAGTTCAACTTCTCTGTTTTCACAATGTAAAAGAGTATAATAAGCAATAAGACTACTATCTATTCCACCACTAAAGAGTATGGGTATTGGGTCATTGGTATTATCAATACATTCTTTTACTGCATTGGACAATAACTCATTTAACTTATTTACAGTAGTTGTTAAATCATGAACTGGGTGTTCCATTCTTTCACCAAATAAGTGGACATAATATTGTTCAATTGTTTTTCCATACTTATTGTGTTTTTCTATACGTTTATTCCTATAATCTACTGTATACCATTCATTTGGTGTACTAGTATTTGGACATTGTAAATTACTAATAATGACACTATCTTCTGTTACTTCATATAATAATGAGTATGATGAAAATCTATCAGAACAAAATTGAATTTGGTCTTGAATGTTAACAATCATATAATTAGTAAAGTCTTGATCAATTTTATCAATATCTTCAAAAGATATAGCATAGTTCAATGTTGTCAACTGATGTTGTATAAAATTATATTTATTAGAATAACAAATCTTAATTTCGTTTTCATTCATCATAAAACATTCTTCTTTTACACCAGCAGTAATTAACTTTTTGATTCGGTTATATTTTTCATATTTTTTTGAAGAGTCAATTTGAATAACAAAGCCGTTCATGTAATTGATAAACAATTTTTTTCAGATAACCCATAGTGAAGAGTCATAAAATAAATAATACTCTTTCTATTTAAATTTTATTAAAAATTTAACCTATAACAAGATTATATGAAAAGTTAAAAACACAACAACAGCAAATCAATTTAATTATCTTCTTTACCAGCATG